TAATTTGCCTGAGGGCTATGAAATTTTGGGGAACACACTTTATTTTTTAAAATAGCAGCAACCCATGTTAGTCCTGGCTGAATTCAGAAAAGCCTTTATTAGCTCCATCAGTTTCACACAACAAAGTTATTTCTGCAGAAACATTACATAAAACTCCTGCTGGAAGAGTCCCAGACTGCACCAGAAATACTGCTGCGTGTGATCACAATGAAACAAAAAGTTTTCTATACATCCAAGGTAKTGTACAGATTACAGTGGTGTAAAGGTTGCTTCTAAAGCACTAATCACTGAAGGATTTGAGCAGTTTTAAGATAACAACAATCAAATTTAGTCTTGAGCTCATCTGTGCTATCAAACCTGAACTCCATTTCTCCAAACTGAGGCTGTCCAAAAAGCTATCTAGAACAGGTAAAATATTATTTATTTATAACTGTTCCACAAAAACCCACTCCAAAATAGCCTGGCCCTTGCCTTAATACACAGTTCCACTCAATTCTAGTTTCTCTTCTCTGCTCCGTCTGGGATTTCTCCCATAGACAAGGATTTYTCTGGTAGAATTTCAACCGGGCCAATCAGAGAACAGAAGGAGGAGTTGTAAATGACAATGATTTTCTGTGCCGTTTTAGTCTGACTGTAGTTTAGCAAAGGCAGCGGAGGAAGTGAATGAGGCCAGTCGGTGTTGACAAGACTTCCAAATTATATTCAATTTGTCTCTCAAAGCTGCAGGTCTCATTTACAGTCRTCTGGTTYAGYTCGGTTCTTCTCTCTTCCCAGTAGGGGATGGTTGTTCACAGCGTACGCAATTTACAGTTAGCTTCTTAGCTTAGCTTCTTTTACAGTCGTCATATGTCACACAGCCAAACATTAGTGATTGGGTAAATCGGATCCAATTATTTTAAACTTCAACAGAGTCCACGCCTCCAGCAAGCAATCGCTTTTCAATAGCCGAGGGTCCAGACCCTCTGTACGAAGCAAAGTGAAGAACAAGGGGCTGGTTTTTACACTGGCTTTAAAGTTGAGTAAACATGCATTTTACTTGCTGTCTCAGTAGATAGAGCAGAATATTAATCTTACCAGAACATTTTTTTAATTAAAAAATTAATGCTATTTGTATCTGATGTGTTTGTAAGATAATCCAGATGCTCTTTACGTTCTTTTGACAAACTTAAAAATGTTGCAAAATCTGTTCCAAGTTGCTAATCTGAATGATTTGGCACATTTCTCCAACAATCCATCTAACACACACACGCACGCA